AAGATAAACAAAATCATAGACCGTTAGCAAGATTAAACAAGAAAAGAACAGAGAAGATCTAAAATAAGCTTAATTAGAAATGAAATGGGAGATATTACAACCAACACTACAGAAATACAAAAGATCATTCAAGACTACTATAAACACCTTACATGCACAAACTAGAAGTCCTAGAGGAGATGTATAAATGCCTAGAAATATGCAACCCTTCTAGATTACATCAGGAAGAAATAGAAACTGTGAATGGACCAGTAAAAAGCAGCAAGATTGAAAAATTAATTTCAAAAATTATCAACAAAAAAATTCCAGGACCAGATGGGTTCACAGCTGAATTCTATCAGACATTCAAAGAAGAATTTGTACTAATTTAACTGAAACTATCCCAAAATAAAGAAATAGGAAATCCTCAAGAAAACATTTGATATAAATATCACCCCAATACCAAAACCAGAAAAGGCTATAACAATAAAAGAAAACTACAGACCAATAACCCTGCTGAACATAGGTGCAAAAATCCTCAGCAAAATACTAGCTAACCAAATCCAACAGCGTATCAAAAAGATAATACATCATAAGTTGATTCTTTTTTTTTTTTTTCTTTTTTTGAGACAGAGTTTCACTCTTGTTACCCAGGCTGGAGTGCAATGGCGCAATCTCGGCTCACCGCAACCTCCGCCTCCCAAGTTCAAGCAATTCTTCTGCCTCAGCCTCCCGAGTAGCTGGGACTACAGGCATGTGCCACCATGCCCAGCTAACTTTTTTGTATTTTTAGTAGAGACGGGGTTTCACCATGTTGACCAGGATGGTCTCAATCTCTTGACCTTGTGATCCACCCGCCTCGGCCTCCCAAAGTGCTAGGATTATAGGCGTGAGCCACCGCGCCCCACCATAAGTTGGTTTTTATACAGAGATGCAGGGATGGTTTACCACTGACAACTCAATAAATGGAATATACCACATAAACAGAATTAAAAACAACAATCACATGATCATCTCAATAGATGCAGAAAAAGCATTTGAGAAAGTCTAGGATCCTTTTATGATTAAAACTCAGCAAAATAGGCATAGAAGGGACATACCTTAAGGTAATAAAAGCCATCCACGACAAACTCAAAACCAACGTTATACTATATGGGGAAAAGTTGAAAGCATTCACCCTGAGAACTGGAAAAAGACAAGGGCACACACTTTCACCGCTTCTTTTTAACATGGTACTGGAAGTCCTAGTCAGAGCAATCAGACAATGAAAGGAAATAAGGGGCATCCAAATGGAGGAAGTCAAACTATTGCTGTTCACCAATGATATGATTGTATATCTAAAAATCCCTACACACTCCTCCAAAAAAGCTCTTACATCTGAGAAATGAATAAATTCAGTAAAGTTTCAGGATACACTATCAATGTACACACATGAGTAGCACCACTATACACCAACAATGACCAAGCTGAGAATCAAATCAATAACTCAATCCCTTTTATAACAGCTGCAAAAACAAAATACTTAGGAATATACCTAATCAAGGAGGTGAAGGATTTCTACAAGGAAACCTACAAAACATTGCTGAAAAATATTATCAATGACTCAAACAAATAAAATACATTTCATTCTCATTAATGGGTAGAATCAAAATTATAAAAATTACCATACTGCCAAAAGCAATCTACAAATTCTGTGCAATTCTCAGCAAAATACCATCATCCTTCTTCACAGAACTTAAAAAAAAAATCCTAAAAGTCATATGGAACAAAAAAAGAGCCTACATAGCCAAAGCACGACTCAGCAAAATAACAAATCTGGCGGCATCACATTACCTGACTTGAAACTATACTACAAGGCTATAGTTACCAAAACATTGTAGTGGTATAAAAATAGGCATGTCAACGAAATGAAAAAAGTAGAGAACCCAGAAATGAAGCCAAATACTTACAGTCAAATGATCTTCAATAAAGGAAACAAAAACATAAAGTGTAGAAAAGACAACCTATTCAACAAATGGTGCTGAGATAATTGGCAAGCCACATGTCGAAGAATAAAATGGAATCCTTATTTCCCACCTTATACAAAAATCAACTCAAGATGGATCAAAGAACTAAATCTAAGACCTTAAACTCTAAAAATTCCAGAAAATAACATTTTAAAAATTCTTCCAGACATTGTTTTATGTAAAAAATTCATGACCAAGAATCCAAAAGCAAATGCAACAAAACCAACGATATATAGTTCAGATTTAATTAAACTAAAAATTTTCCATATAACAAAAGAAATAATCAGCAGAGTAAACAGACAACCCATAGAGTGGGAGAAAATCTTTGCAAACTATGCATTTGACAAGGGACTAATATCCAGAATCTACAAGGAGCTTCAACAAATTGGCAAGAAAAAACAAAGAATGCCATCAAAGAGTGGGCTAAGGACATGAATAGACAATTCTCAAAGGAAGATATACAAATGGTAAACAAACATATAAAAAATGTTCAACATCACTAATTATCAGAGAAATGCAAATCAAAAACAGAATGTGATACCATTTTACTCCTGCAAGAATGCTCATAATTAAAAGAATGGTCAATATCAAAAAATAATAGATGGTGAAAAGGGAACACTTTTGCACTGCTGGTGGGAATATAAACTAGTACAACCACTATGCAAAACAGTACAGAGACTCCTTAAAGAAATAAATGTAGAACTACCATTTGACACAGCAATCTCACTACCCGGAATCTACCTAGAGGAAAGGAAGTCATTATATGAAAAAGATACTTGCGCACACATGTTTTTAGCACCACAATTCTCAATCACAAAAATATGGAACCAGACTTAATGCCCGTTAACCAATGAGTGGACAAAGAAAATGTGGTGTGTGTGCATATATATATATATATATATATACACCATGATATACTACCCAGCCATAAAAAAGAATGAAATAATGTCATTGACAGCAACCTGGATGGTGTTGGAGACCATTATTCTAAGTGAAGTAACTCAGGAATGAAAAGCCAAACATCGTATGTTCTCATTTATAAGTGCAAGCTGAGCTATGAGGACACAAAGGCACAAGAATAATACAATGGACTCTGCAAACTCAGGGGAAGGGTGTGAGAGGGGATAAAGAATACAACACTTACACACTGTGTACAGTATACACTGCTCAGCTGAAGGGTACATCAAAATCTCAGAAATCACCACTAAACAACTCATCCAAATAACCAAATACCACCTATTCCCCCAAAAGTATTAAAATAATTAAAAATTAAAACTAGGCCAGACACAGTGGTTCACGCCTATAATCCCAGGACTTTGGGAGGCTGAGGCGGGCAGATCACCTGAGGTCAGGAATTTGAGACCAGCCTGACCAACACGGGGAAACCCCATCTCTATTAAATTACAAAATCAGCTGGACATGGTGGCATATGCCTGTAATCCCAGCTACTCAGGAGTCTGAGGCAGGAGAATCACTTGAACTTGGCGGTGGAGGTTGCAGTGAGCTTAGATTGCACCACTGCACTCCATCCTGGGCAAGATTGAAACTCCGTCTCAAAAATAAATAAATAAATATCAAAAAACATATATAACCCTAATAGCCAAAGAGAGGCCAAGCATATGACTGATTGATTGATAGATAGATAGATTGATAGATAGATAATAGAGATGGCGATTAGATACAGATATAGATATATTGATATATCTACACACATATATAATTATATATACACACATGTATATATGTGTATATATTTCTTGATTCATTGTATAGACTAGAAATTATAAACACTAGAAAGATATACAATGATGTTTATTTAGAGATAATAAAATTACTTTTTTAAAAAATTCAAGTGAATTAATTGAAAAGCCATTGGACTAATAAAAGGGATCAGGTAGTTACCCAATACAAAATCTACATGCAAAAATTAATGATATTAATTTATAACATAAGTAACCAATAAAAAATCATGAATGATTTCATTTCCAATTACAAATATAACTAGGTTTGGAATATTAAATTAGACCAGAATAAATGAAAATATTAATGACAATTCTGGATAAGAAGATAAAACATTTTAAACAGATTATTAAATTTATGTGAAAGATAATTTAAGTGAGAATAGCAAAGGGGAAGAAAAGAGAGGTGGATAGGCAGAAATTGTTTATGAAAACACACTATGCAACTTTATTAAAAAGAATGATGCAATACTGACTTAAAGAGCTAGGTCAGTGGAACACAGTAGAGATTCCAAAAACATAACCCCACATGTATGGAAAATGTTTACACCATGAAGGTACAATATGAAGGCCGTTATTAGTAACTATTCATTTGGAGAGAAGAGTACACACACACACACACCCCAAATACAAATTTTAGATAAAGACCTAGACTTGAAATAATAGAGGTATGGTTACAAAAAATGCATTAAATTATCTATCAAAATAACTATGGTGTAGAGAAGGGCTTCTTGAGATGCAAAAGGTAGAAACACAAAGAAAAATTTTGACAAGGCTTACTATATGCAAATAAAAAAGCCTACTCTTCAAAATTATCAACAAATAAAAGTAAAGGATAAATACAGAAAAAAATATTTGCAGATATGTTTTATAAAATATTATCCATAATATTAAATATGTTTTGCAAATAAAAAAGAATAAACAACTTTATAGGCAAGGAAACAAAAATAGGAATCAGAAATTCACGGGATAAAGATAGTGATAACATATATGAGAAGCTACTTTTGTTATTATCAGAAAAATGCAAATTAAAATAACAGGAAACTTTAATTCTGGAATGGTGGCATAAGAAGCATTTTCTGTCTTCTGCCTAGGGAATAAAATATGCTTGACAAAAAATATAAAAAATAATTCAAAGTCTTGAAATTTTTCTACAGTCATATAGCAAATGAAGAAATATTTATCCAAGAAATTTTCCTAAGCATTTATAAGAACATTGAGAGTTGAGGTTCTGGTCTACAGGCTCTAGGAGCTCCTAGGGGACTCTACCACAGCCATGTTGTACTGTGGCCTGCAGGGAGTATTGACTTTCAGGGATGTGGCCATAGAATTCTCCCTAGAAGAGTGGGAATGCCTGGACTCTGCTCAGCAGCATTTGTATAGGGATGTGATGTTAGAGAACTACAAACATCTGGTCTCCTTGGTTCTGGCTACCTCTAAGCCAGACTTCATTACCTTTCTGGAGCAAAGAAAAGAACCCTGGAATTTGAAGAGACAGGAGACAGCAGCAAAACACCCAGGATGAATTGCTTACCAGACTTTGATCTATAGGACCAGCACTAGGGCAGTGTTCTGCAGTTGAGTTGGCATATGGTGGACCCGATATGAAATTGACTTTGGGGGGACTTCTGCTAAGATGGCCAAACAAACAGGAACAGCTCAGGAGCACAGTTCCCAGCGACAGCAATGCAGAAAGCAAGTGATCTCTGCCTTTTCAACTGAGGTACGAGGTTCATCTGAATAGGACTGGTTGGTCAGTGGGTGTAGCCCAAGGAAGGCAAACTGAGGCATGGTGCAGTGCTGCCTCACCTGGGAAGTGCAGTGGGCCAGAGAACACCTCTCCTACCTAACAGGGGCCATTGGAGACTTTTCTGGCCACTCTGGCACTCCAGTTCAGATACTGCATTTCTTCCACAGTCTTTACAGCCAACAGACCAGGAGATTCCCACTGGGCCAACAAGTGCTAGGGTTTCCAGCACAGATCTGAGTGGCTGTTTCAGCCAGCAGGTGGGTTTCTAGCACAAATCTGGGCAGTCATTTTAACTGGTGCCTGGAACACCTGTGAGACAGAGCCACCCATTCTCTGGAAAAAAAAAAAGGGGGCTGAAGGTAGGCAGCCAAGTGATCTGGCTCGGCAGGTCCCACCCCCACAAACACCAGCAAACTGAAACCCACTGGCCTGAGAGTTTTGCAGCCAGCACAACAGTTTGAGCTTGAAACAGCTTCAAATGGTCGAGCTCGGTGGGGAGAAGGGCATCTGCCATTACTGAGGCAGTCTGCCATTACTGAGGGAGTCCACCATTACCAAGGAAGTTTTAACCTTACCTGTGTAAACAAAATCACAAGGAAGTTTACACAGCCGTTGGGTGGAGCCCACAGCAGCTCTGCAACACCTCTGCAGGCAGACTGTGACTAGACTCCCTCCCTGTTGGACAGGGCATCTCTGAAAAAAGGTAGCAGCATGTCAGGGACTTATAAATAAAGCCTCACATTCCTGGGACAGAGCAACTGGGAAAATGGGCAGTTGTGAGTTCCACTGCAGCAGACTTAAATGTCCCTGTCCAGCAGCTCTGAAGGGAGCAACGGAGCTCCCAGCACAGCACTTGAGCTCTAATAAGGGACAGACTGCCTCTTAAGTGGCTCACTGACCCCCATATATCCAAAGAGACACCTCATACAGGAGAGCTCTGGCTGACATCTCGCAGGTAGCCTTCAGGGACAAAGCTACCAGAGGAAGGAACAGGTAGCAATCCTTGCTGTTCTGCAGCCCCCATGGGTGATTCCCAGGCAAGCAGGGGCTGGAGTGGGCCTCCAGCAGTCCTGAAGCAGAGGAGCCTGACTGTTAGAAGGAAAACTAAAAAACAGAAAGAAATAGCTTCAACATCAACAGAAAGGACATCTACTCAGAGACCCCATCCAAAAGTCACCAACTTCAAAGACAAAAGGTAGATAAATCCACGAAGATGGGAAGAAACAAGTGCAAAAAGGATGAAATCACCAAAAACCAGAATGCTTCTCCTTCTCCAAGGGATCACAACTCCTCACCAGCAAGGGTAATAAACTGGATGGAAAATGAGTTTGACAAATTGACAGAAGCAGGCTTCAGAAGGTGGGTAAAACAAACTTCTCTGAGCTAACGGAACGCATTCTAACCCAATGCAAAGAAAATAAGAACCTTGAAAAAAGGTTAGATGAAATGCTAACTAGAATAACGAGCTTAGAGAAGAACATAAATGACTTGATGGAGCTGAAAAACACAGCATGAGAACATCATGAAGCATACAAAAGTTTCAATAGCTGAATCAATCAAGCAGAAGAAAGGATGTCAGAGATTGAACATCAGCTCAATGAAATAAGAAGGCAAGATTAGAAAAAAAAGTGAAAAGAAATGAACAAAGCCTCCAAGAAACATGGGATTATGTGAAAAGATCTAATCTACCTTTGATCAGTGTACCTGAATGTGACGGGGAGAATGAATCCAAGCTGGGAAACACTCTTCAGGATATTATCCAGGAAAACTTCCTCAACCTAGCAAGGCAGGCCAACATTCAAATCCAGGAAATACAGAGAATACCACAAAGGTACACCTCAAGAAGAGCAACCCCAAGGTACATAATCATCAGATTCACCAGGGAAGCCCATCAGATTCACAGCAAATCTCTCTGCAGAAACCCTATAAGCCAGAAGATAGTGGGGGCCAATATTCAACATTCTTAAAGAAAAGAACTTCCAACCCAGAATTTCATATTTAGCCAAACTAAGTTTCATAAGTGAAGGAGAAATAAAATCCTTTATGAACAAGCAATTGCTGAGAGATTTCATCACCACCACACCTGCCTTACAAGAGCTCCTGAAGGAAGCACTAAACATGGAAGGAACAAATACTACCAGCCACTCCAAAAATGTACCAAATGGTAAAGACCATTGACACAATTAAAAAAAAAATTGCATCAACTAATGTGCAAAACAAGCGGCAAGTATCAAAAATGGCAGGATCAAATTCACACATAACAATATTAACCTTAAATGTGAATGGGCTAAGTGCCCCAATCAAAAGACACAGATTGACAAATTGGATAAAAAGTCAAGACCCACTGGTGTGCTGTATTCAGGAGACCCAGATCACATGCAAAGTCACACATAGGCTAAAAATAAAGGGATGAAAGATTTACCAAGCAAATGGAGAGCAAAAAAAAAGCAGGGGTTGCAATCCTAGTCTCTGATAAAATGGACTTTAAACCAACAAAGGTCAAAAGAGACAAAGAAGGGCATTACAAAATAGTAAAAGGGATGAATGCAACAAGAAGAGCTAACTATCATAAATATATATGCACCCAATACAGGAGCATGCAGATACATAAAGCAAGTTCTTAATGACCTACAAAGACACACAGACTCCCACACAATAATAATGGGAGATGTGAACACTCCATTGTCAATATTAGACAGATCAACAAGACAGAAAATTAACAAGGATATCCAGGACTTGAACTCAGATCTGGACCAAGTGGACCTAATAGACATCTACAGAATTCTCCACGCCAAATCCACAGAATATACAATCTTCTCGGGACCACATTGCACTTACTCTAAAATTGACCACATAATTGGAAGTAAATCACTCCTCAGCAAATGGAAAAGAACAGAAATCATAAGAAACAGTCTCTAAGACCACAATGCAATCAAATTAGAAACTCACTCCAAATCGCACAACTACATGGAAACTGAACAACCTGCTCCTGAATGACTAAGAAACCAATGACTTTGAAACCAATGAGAACAAAGACACAACATACCAGAATCTCTGGGACACATTTAAAGCAGTGTTTAGAGAGAAATTTAAAGCACTAAATGCCCACATGAGAAGTGAGGAAAGATCTAAAATCGACACCCTATTGTCACAATTAAAAGAGCTAGAGGAGCAAGATAAAACAAATTCAAAAGCTAGCAGAAGGCAAGAAATAACTAAGATCAGAGTAGAACTGAAAGAGTTAGAGACACAAAAATCTCTTCAAAAAAATCAATAAATCCAGGAGCTAGTTGTTTGAAAAGATTAACAAAATAGATAGACCACCGGCCAGACTAATAAAAAAGAAAAGAGAGTAGAATCAAATAGATGCAACTAAAAATGATAAAGCATTCCACAGAAATACAACCAACCATCAGAGATTATTACAAACAACTCTATGTACATAAATCAGTAAATCTAGAAGAAATGGATATTCCTGGACAGTTACACCCTCCTAAGCCTAAACCAGGAATAAGTTTAAACCCTGAATAGACCAATAACAAGGTCTGTAGTCCAGGCAGCAATTAATAGCCTACCAACCAAAAACAGGCCAGGACCAGATGGGTTCACAGCCAATTTCGATCAGATGTACCAAGAGGAGCTGGTACCATTCCTTCTGAAACTATTCCAAAAATACGAAAAAGAGGAAATCCTCCCCAACTCATTTTATGAGACCAACATCATCCTGATACCAAGATCTAACTGAGACACAACTAAAAAAGAAAATTTCAGGCCAATATCCATGATGAACATTGATGCAAAAATCTTCAATAAAATACTGGCAAACCAAAGGCAATAGCACATCAAAAAGCTTATCCATCAAGATAAAGTAGGCTTCATCCTGGGGATGCAAGGCTGGTTCAACATATGAAAATGTATAAACATAATCCATCACATAAACAGAACCAAAGACAAAAACCACATGATTATCTCAATAGAAGCAGGGAAGGCCTTGGCAAAATTCAACAGCCCTTTAGGCAAAAACTCTTAACAAACTAGGTATCAATGGAATGTATCTCAAAATAATAAAAGCGATTTATGACAAACCCACAGCCAATATCAAACTGAATGGGCTAAACTGGAAGCATTCCCTTTGAAAACTGGCACTAGACACGGGTGCCCTCTCTCACCATTCCTATTCAGCATAGTATTGGAAATTCTAACCAGAGCAATCAGGCAAGAAAAACTAATAAAGAGTATTCAATTAGGAAAAGAGGAAGTTAAATTATCTCTACTTGCAGATGACATGATTATTTATTTAGAAGACCCCATCATCTTAGCCCAAAAGCTCCTTAAGATGATAAGCAACTTCAGCAAAGTCTCAGGATACAAAATCGATGTGCAAAAATCACAAACATTTCTATACACCAATAACAGACAGAGAGGCAAATCATGAGCTAACTCCCATCCACAATTGCTACAAAGAGAATAAAATACCCAGGAATACAGCTAACAAAGGATGTTAAGTACCTCTTCAAGGAGAACTACAAACCACTGCTCAAGGAAATAAGAGAGGACACAAACAGATGGAAAAACATTCCATGCTCATGGTTAGGAAGAATCAATATTGTGAAAATGGCCATACTGCCCAAAGTAATTTTTAGATTCAATGTTATACCCATCAAGCTATCTATGACCCTCTTCACAGAACTGGAAAAAAAAACACCTTAAGTTTCATATGGAACCAAAAGAGAGCCTGCATAGCTAAAACAATCCTAAGCAAAAAGAACAAAGCT